GGCTTGTAAAGGCAAGGATAACTGAAGGAGCCTCATTTGGAACTGGGCGCACTTCGGAAGCAAAATTAACGTTATCGAGTTGAGATCGCAGCACCTTCTGAAGACCCGAGATACACGAAACTGAAGTACCAAACCGCATATTGTGGTGCATTCGACGAGAAGATGTAGTGTAAGCCAGATCTGCAAGGCTCGTTTCCGGATGTTGGTCCAAATATGACAAGAGGCTCTCCATGTTAGCTTGCAGAGATTTCTTGCTCTTTGCAGATAAGAGTATCGAATGAGTGATACGATCTTCCGTGCCTTGGATCTTCACTCTTTCGGGCGCATCTTCCAGCAGCAACGTAGTATTTCCTCCGTGCGCTCCAAATGAATTAACCACGGCAAGGCGCTTCTTACCTGCTGGACGCGGCCATGGCGTGTTTTGCATGGCTAGTCCCACATTCCGCCGCTCGAGATCTTTAGGTATGGTTGGATTGATCACACTCTTGATGCCGATGTGCATGGGAATCAAATTTTTCTGATACACAAGCAAAGCCTTCAGAAGAGATGCAATACCAGCGGCGGCTTCACCGTGTCCGATGTTACTTTTCACGGCCCCTAAGTATAGTCGCTGGTCAGGTCGACGACGAGGTGTCACAGGTGCAAATATATCTGACACGGATTCAGACTCGACCGCGTCCCCAGCCTGAGTTCCTGTACCATGGAGCTCAATGTAGCTAACATCAATTGGGTTAACGCCAGCTTGGTTCAGCACTTGTCGATAGTTAGCTTTTTGCGCACCAGCGTGTGGGTGCGTGATCGAGATAGCCTCTGCGGAGTGATTGGTACTTGCACCAAGGACCACAGCTAAAATATTATCATTATCAGCCTCGGCATCCTCGAGTCGTTTGATAACAACAGACCCAATTCCATCAGCACGACAGTATCCGTCTGCATCCTTGTCCCAAACCTTGCACTGTCCGGTCTTAGAGAGAAAGTGGGCATTCCCCAGGCCGCAGTAGTTATCAGGGTCCGTTATAACATTAAGGCCTCCAGCAATAGCAGTATCAACCTCACCAGCCCACAATGCGGAGCAAGCAGCTTGCACCGCAGCAAGCCCACTTGAGCAGGCTGTATCAAGGTTGAACGACGGACCAGAGAATTTAAAAAAGTAATTGATTCGCCCATTACCAAATGCACGCTCGCCACCGGGAACTGCATAGGTGCTGATGTTTTGTGACGCATTTAGTTCCCTCCAGTCATCACTAGCCTGGCCGTAGAATGTACCAATGCGGCTAGGGTGTGTGGAAGGGGTGCGGCCAGGGACAACACCTGCCATTTCCAAAGCTTCATAGGCTGTAACAAGGGCAAGTCTTTGCATCGGATCTGTTTGCTCGGCCTGATTTGGTCAGTCTCAAGAACAGCAATCTATATGGATCAAAAGGATTAACATACCTCTCTCGGGGACATATTGAAGAAACCTGCGTCAAAAAACCCTGGGCGATCGATGAAGTTGCCATATGGCGTCTGTGTTGCATTTTCCGTTTTCCCTGTAGGATCGTAATGAGTGTTTAGGTCAAATCGATCGGGAGGGACTGTAGTGAGAGTATCTCGTCCTTCCTCCAGCAATTTCCAAAAGAGATCGAGATCATTAGCACCCCCAGGTAGCCTACATGCCATGCCCACAATAGCAAGTTTCGAAGAAGCATGCGAGCGAGGTTGACGGGGTCCGAAGTCTTTATTAACCCAGTTCACCAGGTCTCGACGGATGAGTTGCCGCTGTTCTCCAGAAAGTTTGGCCTCCACGGCGGAGTGGATGCCGCGAAGAACAAGTGACGTACGAAATGAGTCAATTTGCCAGCTGCTTATTTCTTTTGACTGTGGCTGAAGGTGCTGGACAATGCCCGCAGTAACATTGTCAAGGTAGATAGTGCCAGTAAGTAGCTCAGTTCCAATTTCAAGGAAGAGCTCGCTGGCTGTTTTTGCGATGAATGGTTTGCCAGTTTGAGAGGAGAGCAATGCCAGCCGTACCGATCGGTCAGCCACGATAACGCTCTCCGCGCTATTTATTATGGAATCTATATCGCTCTGTGTGTACAGATGCGACGCGTGACAGAGACCATCATAAACAGGCAATGGGAGAGACTTAGAATAACGGAGGACAGGAGAGTGTTGAAAGGCTGCCTTAATGCGTGATGGCGGTCCACTCACACTGACAGATGTCTTGTCTGCAGCACTGATGAAGACCTTAGTCAGTTCTGGGCTATGCGTGTCCGTGTTGAACTGTCTAAGTTCATCCTGGACACCAGCCTCTGTCATCTCCGTAACAACGTGAGCCCAACTGCTAAGGGTCCCATCTGATTGCGGTGTTTCGAGTTTGGTTGAGATATCAGCAACATAGACACCCAGTCGGAAGGAAACCCGCACCGCTTCCGCGCCGGTTTTAGCCACGTCGGCTAAACTGCTAGACAATGCGACAGCGGCAGCAGCCAAGATGCCGATACTAAGGCCTGCGAGAACACTTTCTCCTGGAACTAGGTCCCATTCTGTGTCTTCTGATTCATAATGGCTAGTGTATACAAGACTGGTTAGCATTTTGACCTGATCAAGCAAACAAAGAAGAGAAACATACCCGATGAACAACCCCAATTCTAAAATGGTAAGCATGGAGCTCTCCATGGCAGCTCCCAGAGGTCCCTGACGAAAGTCGACATCGACGAGACCGAGGACGGAGTCGAAGGGCGGTACCAACTCCTTTAGTGGCCGGGGAAGCTTCGATACCTCATCTTTCAAAACGGCTGTTGATTCCTCTAGAAAGATGGAAAGTAGTCTAAACCGCCTGTCTTTGCTATGTTGATCTAGACGGCGGAAGAGCTCTTTCAAGTCATCGTTGGGGAATTCATTGCTGAAGAAAACTACCCGCCGTGAAGTTGAATCCATGATGATGTTGTCAATGATGACAGTTCTTTTTGGTTGACATTTAGCAACACTATGAATCCCTTTTAATAACCGTGGACATGGCTTAGTAAATGTAAATTTCCGAGGTCTCGGTTATACATGATTATAAAATCCGGATGTCGCAAAATCCGAGGAAGAAACCAACGGTCTTTGCACAAACACCGACGGAGGTAGCGTTAGGTGTAAATGCCGAGGTCAATAAAAGGTAAAGGAAGCTCGAGTAATCATATAAAGGTTAATATCCAGGTGGAGGAGGGTCGACGTTATGCATACTTGACAATAGTCTCTAGATGTCGATTACCACCACCATGACTTCCGTCCCTATTTTTGAGTCTGTCTCTCGTTTCCTTCCCCCAGGCAACGAAGATGAACAGTTTTGGTGGAAGATCACCGGCCGACATATGGCTCGCATGATGCATGAGGCAGGCTACCCAGAAGATCGTCAAGTCGAATGCCTTCTCTTTCATCGCTTTAAAGTCGTCCCTTGTCTTGGTCCCCGACCACACTCCGACACACCCTGGTATAAGAGCCGTGTGGGCGGCGGTGCGGCAGATGGATGCCCAATCAACTATAGTTGGAGATTTGGCACCTCTGATAGAAGGCCACATAACCGCAACTTCATCGAACCCCTTGGAGCCCTGACGAACACCTCAGCCGACCCGCTCAACGAGGTCGCTACTAAAGCCCTCTTACATGATTACAGCATGACTCTACCCAATGTCGACCTGGAGGCATTTTGGACCTTCGCCCCTCATTATCGGCCGCGTATTATCGAAAAGGCAGATATGGAAAAGCTTGCCGGGGCTTCGTTGCTTGTCGGAGCAGAGATGTCTCCTGACTCTCGTACCATCGATATTAAGGCATACATGTACCCTCGAGTTCCATCGCAAACCAGTCAACTTCTCACCACGATTCTGCCCCAAGCCATGCGTGACGCTTACGGGGAGGATGTGTGTCTCGACAGCCTCAATTTCGTCCATGACTTTATGACCAAAGATCCACAGGGATGTCAACTTGTTCTGACTGGCACAACCGGGATAGATTGCTGCAAACTCCAGGATACACGCGTGAAAATTTATGTTATCACCCGTAACACTTCTTTTGACCATATTGCCGCCATCATGACACTAGGCGGCCGACGTCCAATCTCGGAGGAGCTCCTTGGCCAGCTAAAGGCGCTTTGGTATGAGTTGAAGGGAGCCCCGGCAGAACTACCCTCGTCTGAGCAGCTACCGGTTCAAACAAAACCAGATCGCAGCAAGAATCCAATCGTCGTCCCCTTCTATTTTGATATCCAACCACGGCTCGAACTGCCGGACGTGAAGGCATACATCGATGTGAGCACCAGCCCTGTGAGCGATCTTGCGGCCGCTAATGCAGTGGTTTGCCATTTGGAGCAACATGGTAGCGGGCAAAATCCTAAAGCATACTTGAATGTGCTGAAAGACATAACTCCAGTTGAGGCGTTGGAAACGCAGAAAGGAGCCCTCGCATTTTACTCGGTAGCTGTCAAGAAGAATGAGCTCGATATAACCTCATACTTTAACCCGCAGGTGTATAAGCGTTACTTCGCTCATGAAGTACAGCTTAATGGACAGCGACGGAGTGTATTTGAGTAGATTCAAATTTGTTAGGCTTGTAATGCTGATAGTATGAAATTTATTTTGATTTATCGTTCTTCAGTGTCGAAATAGATTACAGAGGTATTGTTTGACGTTAGAATAAGCTTTAATTAGTTCATTAATAAGCAAAGTTAGTTCAATTAGCTATCTATTTTTAGTTATCGCCTTGTGCTAGATGCTTTTAGTTAAACTTTACTTCCATCCTGGAACGCGAACGACACCACATCCCCGCCTCGTATCAAGGATACATTAGATTGTGACAATCTATAAAAGCCGTTTCTAAACACCGAGCGCTGTCTTTTTTTTTTTTTCTCCATTTACTTCGGTTTTTGGAACCCGACTGATTAGATTATTCAGACTGCGCATATTGAAATTATTACCATCAAGATATATTAACATTACTCGAAATAATGCAGAAACTCATTGCAAAACTGGGCCAAAATGGGGAAGCAGCAAGAAACCATTCTTATCATTGGAGCCGGTATTGCTGGTCTTACAACTTCTCGCCTCCTCACAAACAATGGAATTCCCAATATTGTCTTTGAGGCATCGACACCAGATCGCAGTCAAGGATTTGCCATCAGTCTTCAGGAGTTTGGGTACTCGGCACTTCTCGCTGCTCTGGGTGATCTCCCCCTCAGCAGCCTGATCAGGGGCGTCGCGCCGGACCGAAAAATTGGTGGAAGTGGTTGGATTGACCAGGCGTTGAGGGATAATCGAACGGGTGAAGTATTAGTCGCTCCAGACCTCACAACAACGAAGCAAACAATTGTGCGCGCGAATCGTAATGCACTGCGTCATTGGATTGTGGATTGCGGAGAGGATGAGCTTGATGTGCGATATGGGCATAAACTGCAGAGGATCGAGGGAAAATTGGGGGATGTCACTGCAGTGTTTGAGAACAATGCCAAATACAAGGGGTCTCTTATTATCGCCGCTGATGGCGTAAATTCTACCGGTATGTAACCCTCGTTTCGTAGCGTTAAACAGTCTGCTCTTTATTCCCCAGTGCTGGTTTTATAATTAGATGGAAGACATTAACTAACCACGAACAGCCCGGTCCCAGATTCTCCCCAACGTGGTTCCTGAGGCAATTCCTTTAATTCACTATCATGGAGAGTTCCAGATTTCTCACTCTGCCTTTGATGAGCTCATTCGGCCCCATAGTGGACACTCCAATATTCTCGTTGGTGTTGGTGACAGATTCAACACTCCACTGTCAATCTGCAACATTACCAAGTCTCAAGTACACCTCGATTGGTCATATTCACGGACTGTTAAGGGCGAAAATGATATTCTATATTGCCCCAATGTCCCATCCGAAGAAGCAAAACAGATTCCTCCAGCGCTGCTCGAGGAGTTGGATACTCTTAGCTTAGCGGAGCCGTGGAAGACTTTCTTGAATTCAGAGTCCCTCAAGGCCCACCGAGTATTCCATTGGACTACCAGGTGTGTTTACATTACGCAGGATGATGCTCGGCACGCAGGTGAGCAGGGTGTCGTCTTTGTGGGCGACTCGTGGCATGCAATGCCTATCTTTGGTGGTGAGGGAGGGAACCATGCGCTTCTTGATGGTGTCGAACTAGCTAACGCCATAATAACTTCTACTGAGAGCAGTGGAAGGGGTTCCTGGGACAATGTTGCTAAAAATTATTATGGTGGTGCGTGGAAACGGTCCCAAGATGCTGTTCGACGGTCAACTCAGCGCTTCTTTCTACTTCATCGACCAGCCACGGAGTGGAAAGAGATTTCAGAGAAAAAGAAAACGCTAGCATGACATGGTATTATTATAGCCGTACATTTCCCTCCCAAAATCATACACACATCCCTCTCTTGTCATTTAAATTCTAGGAATACTGAGCATATAACCACTGGATTAGACTATTCAACTGTATTCCAACTATATGCAACTGAGATTTATCTAAATTAACTAGGACATCCACGTACCTTATTTCGTTTTCTCTGTTCTAATGCAAACCATTGTCGCTTGAGAGGATCCCCCGGCTTAAACCCCACCATCCGATCTTCCGTTAATTTCCATAACACCTGAAGTAATGAAGGCGCCAAAGCCTTCTCAATTACCTCCGGTGGTAGTTTCCCATATATTGCCATCACAATTTCATTCAGCGTTAGCCCACATTTGACCCCTTCTTCCCGCACTCCTTCACCTCGGACCCGTTGCCTTGTCAGTGCGGATAACATCATCCGCTCCCGCCCCTCTCTATGCTGTATGTATTCCTCTAGCTTCCCTGGTAGGTATTCTATCACAGCCCCATGTGCCGGATATCCAATTCTGCAGCCCAGTGAAGCCATATCCCTTAGGCTATCCATATAACGTCCTAAATCCTGAGCAACGCTGAAGCCATGACCTAGAACATTATCCCCCGTGAAAAGGGCGTTTTCTTCCTCCAACAGAAAGCACATATGATCTACTGAGTGACCGGGTGTAAAGATTGCACGCACGGTTGCGCCGTCCACGGAAAAAATTTGCCCATGTGTGATTGGATTTTGGCCTGAGTCAGGGCGATTTTTGTATATTTTGTCTGCTAGGGAAGAGTTTCTTGAAATCAAGTCTGGGACACCGCCGGTGTGGTCCCCGTGCCAATGGGTAAGGAGAACGTAGGAAAGCTCAATCTTGTGTGTATATAGAAACGATGATATGCGGTTTATCCAGACAGGGAGGCCCTTTTGGTATTGATTAGCCAATTTGCAATTTTTCTAGGTCCAGATGAAAGCCGCCTGTTTTACCTACCTGAGCTGTATCGATCAGGATACGCGACTTGCCAGTTCCAACGAGATAGGTATTTGTGCCTTGGAGATGCATGCTACCTGGGTTTCCACCTAAGATCCGAATAATGCTTTTACTAACATGGGATATATCCGGCAGAGTAGGTAATTGGCCCTCACGACCACTGAGAAACTCCTCCCAGAAAGACTAATTGAATGGTAGGCGGCCGCCCATGCTTCCTCCGCTTGATGATTTATCCATAGTTGTTTCGAAAAATTGAAGAAACGAGTCTGTCATCTAGTAGACGAAAGAATTTTCGTGAGGTTCTTTAGAGCCGCGCCCTTCGAAACCACTCTTTCTGACATCAATCAATGCCAAAAACCGAGAATTTACTATGCATCTGCCAAAAGCCGAACGAATACGACAGCTGTCTTCCAAACCATGCTGCAGACCAATGGGACTTTTCAACGCCAATGGGTAAATGTAGCCAGAGCCATCATTCTTTCTGCATCCGGCCAACTCCGCCTGGTATGGGCAAATGACATGGAATCCTCTGTCAAATGGTACGTATACTCGGCTTTAGGGATATAGAGTGAGGAATAATTTAAGCAATGCCTAGCTTAACTTAGTTGGTATTAAACCTAAAATCGCGGCAGGGGCAGTAACTTACGAAACTAACCAAACCTTCAGGCGAAGGCTTATAACTCCTTTACCTATAGCTATTATCTCTCTGCACAAATGAAGAGACTTGATTTTTCGTACCTCTTCATTGGCAGGTAGTCGACAGTAGCGGACCCATTCTAGTTCAGGTTTGGGCATAATTCGGACCCGAATAACTAGTTAGAATTATAGTAGAATTTCGGTGGTGGTATGAAGAAGCACATTTCTAGCCAACTATATCAAGCTCAACCTCCCACACAGCATTTATTACAAGATTACCTAGATACTAACGGGATTTAATGTTTCTCTTTCTCTTCCTGTCTTCTTTCCTCTTCTCTTATGCCAATTCGCTGGACTTCAAGACATGTGTCCAAAGAAATACTGGAGTTCGTCACGAAAGAAACATGTCAGCTCTGCCAGTTTCATCATAGTGTAGGCTTGCAATCACCTCTTCCCACGCAGCCCATGACTGATCAGCATCGAGCAATTGTTCTTGTCCGGCAATCAGCAGCGGACTGTCGAGTGAAAACACCAAAGGATCTACCTTCTGTGGTGATGTCGAAATCGGAGCCTCAGTCACCAGGGCCAGGTCTTCCCCAGGGCGTGAAAGTTCTGCCGTTGTCCAAGACCAGTTACTTAAAAGATCCCCGTTTGATGTGATGCTAGACCGGGAAGGAGGCGTGTGCGGCACCGACAATGTGTTTGCCGCGGTTGTAGTACCAAACGTCGGACTCGCTGTTATGCTGGTACTCGTACCTAAAGACGGCAGCAGCTTTCCCCTTACACGGCACATCAGCCTCTCAAGCGTGATGCTGATTGCCTTGCTAGACCCTGACACAGTAGCCTCATGTTGCTGAAAAGCAGCTTCCACAATGGGCCAGGCGCGTTGTACCAAGGATCTATCTTGACAGATGTAACACTCTGATATGGCAATGGCGAGCGGCTGCCATGGGACCGTAACGAACCAGCGGAACCCCTCTCCACGGGGATCAGTGTGCACGAGCTGGACTTTCTCAAGGATATTTAACGCCAAGGAGAGAATGCTTGTGCCTTCGTTGGCATCTAATATTGGTATCGGATGGCCGCCATGTTGGTGTATAAGAGGGCGGATGGCAGAAAGTCTTGCCCCTGAGACGAAGCATTGAATGCGATGCCATGTGAACCAGGCATATGGCGTGGATTCGGGATCGCAATAGAGCAAAAGACGAAGCGTCCTCTGCTCGAAATTTTGGACGTGCTGCTGTCGACTTCCGTCGTCTTTAACAGATGGTTCAAAATTGAGTAGCCGGCCCGCAGCCTGTACGTGGTGGGAAACCAAAGAAAATGTGGTATCTGTCAGTCCTTCCCGGTCAGGGATGTCGTGCGAAGTTGTCGGGTCAAAATCAGAATCATTAATGTGCCTGGGTGGAGAGAATAATGATGTTGCCTCTGCTACAGTGATTAGAGGCTCAGAAGGTTGGCTTAAAGAGGTCTGAAAATCCAGCAAGCAGATGGCTAGCCAAAGTCGCTTCCGCATCTGTTGACCAAAAAAATTGTCGTCTATGCCTCTAGGGAGGTCGAGCGCTTTGGCGATTCTCACCGCAAATGCCATTAATGTCCAAACAGCACGACTTGGATCTTCTGACCTCCTAGCAACCTGGTTTGTTTTTAATGGGAATTAGAACATTGTTCCGTGAAAAGCTCGTGCTGATATCTCTGTGTTAGAAAACTCACAAGGTATAATACAAACGCTTGAAGGGTAGTGACATCAGGAGAAAGTAGCGGGCTACTCTTCTCTAGTGTCGTCTCACATGCTCTTCTTGCGCGGGCAACAATGCTGGACTTGGTGGTATGGAAACGAGCCCAGCTCTGTGTCTCTGTTAAACTGGTAGCTGCAACGTAGCAGATAGCTGCACCCAGAGACTCGACCGCAGCATGACCTTCAGGCAATCCTAGATATCGTTGCCCCTCCAACATCCACTTTTCAAGAGACGGCCGATGTAGAATTTTGATCACCGGATCTACATTTAAGAGATATACCTGGCACAATTGCATCGATACCTCTCTATCCTCAATAATAGAGGCCCATCCAGTCTCAGGGCTAGATGATCCACTTAATCCCAGGATTCTCAAGCCACCATCACTCGGGTGAACTCTTGGGCCTTTGATCAGTAGGCTATCCTCGTCAATTCTGTTCAGAGTTGATTCAATGGTATCTTGAGCTTCCTGATCCTTGTTTGTTTGAAAATTCTTGATGAGCTACTCTTCTAATTTTCTTGACTAGTTGTGATGCTGTTACCCCTGACTCACCTGCTTCGAGACGTGGTTGGAAGAACGCATACTGTCCACCAGGGCCTCTAGTCTGCGAATGCGCTCCTTGAGGTCGTCATCAGCTATGGTGCCAGCATCGGCAGGAGAAGCAATGTCAATTTGTATCGGTGCCTCTGGGTCTTCGGGCGAAATCCTCCGCAATCGCTGAGCATGGGCACCTCGAGGCAAACGTGGCCGCCGTACGGGAACACAAATCACACCCGCCGACGAACAATTCGTGCATGGATCAAGTTTGTCACACTTGACCTTACGCTCGCGGCACAGTTCACAGCTAAGATGAGCAGCTTCCTGCCGTCGTTTTGGGCCTCGTTTCTCCATGTCTCCTCTAGGCGAAATAAACCAGCTTGTTCGTAGCTTCGGGCCTTTACCATCGGAAGGCCTGGGCTGTATAAACACAGCAGCCTAGGACGCGGCTGGTACCATCCCGATAACTGAGCACGCGGGCTGCTGAGCAGCAGCCGAGGCGAAGGTTACTCCGTGTCGAGCCCATCTTCTGGTCTCGCCTTCAGCAACACGAGGAACACGAGAAAGCCTTAAGAGACAACTTTATATCCGTCGGAATATATTTATATATCTAAGTATAGATATATAACTATAACAATAGAAATATATTCAACGTTTGGTACGTGGGCCTCCACCAGACGCTTGCTAAGTGGAGTATAAAACCGGCCTGGTTGGCCGACCTCTAAGTAGCAACACCTCGTTTCTCTGGGTATTTGCTTCAGCTCTCGCTCTCACTCCAGGTCAGTTTGCCAGCGAAAGGGCTGCCAGTGAGCCAGAAACACCAGTCTGACACTGGCGGCGTTTTTTGGTAACATGGATCAGCCTCTTTTACTGGTTCAACCGTCAGCAGCACTCCCACTCTTGATTCCAATACGAGATGATTTCCATTCATGCTAGCAGTGGCCCTTTCTGCCTACCAATGCTAGTTAGTCGTCCAGTCTCAAGACGTGCTACAAGCCTTAGTGGCGAAGTCTTAGCACCATCCAATGTCCGTTATGCATTTGCTAGGCATGATCTTGATTTCCACTTCCGTGTGCAGATCCAGATCATTCGGGGCAATTCTCGACCTTCAAATGTTTGATTCGGTCCATTTCCTCAGACAGAGCGCCGGGCTTCCTGGGATGCAACCTGCTCGCTTGATGTCCTAGGATAACCCTGCAGGCTCCTGATTCACATCGTTCGGGTGGGTTCCCAAGCGCTGACCATCCATCACCAGGCTCAAGAGTGTCCTTTCCAGTAACGCGAAAAGCTTAATAGCAATACCACCAAGTGCCGCAGAATGGGTCGAATACGAGCTAGCATATATGACAGGATGATAGCTGAATAAATTAATGTTTCTTGTGAATAGTTAAAGGGGGGAACGGAGCAAAAAGAGCCATTGACTGGATGAGGATTGAGGGAACAGGCAGTTGTGGAGGGGATGAAGTTCACGCTCAAATGGCGGCAGGTCTGAGTATTGACGTCTCTGATTCGAACCCTCAAGGGCTGATATACGACAGTGTACTAGTGCGGGAAGTACGGGGCATACTGAGAATTAATTAGCCCCTAACCAGTGGCTGAAGTGCTCTAATTATAGGCAGAACTCCGCCAGGCCACCTATTCCCAAGTCCAGCAGCTTCCCCTTCACGTTCATCCATGGTATCGCTCCGCCCAAAGCCACTTCCCTCCCAATGGTTAGAGTATCGTCCACAGAGGACTCGCGTTCAAAATCAGGGGCCTTCTTTTTATCTCTTGAGCGTTCAAAACTCCAAATGCCAACGGAGTACCAGAAGTGACATTAGTAAGCATGATCACATGACTGATCCTGAACCTATCATCACGTGATTGATCCAGCTCGCGGCGTTTTGCGCAGCGAAATTAATAATATCAAAAACGACTTGATACTTCAGAACCGTCCACCAGGGGAGGATTGTTGATTTTGAAGAAAAATCCACAGCTGCCCTTGGGACAAGCAAGCTTCCCAACAGCTTTCATTTCGTGTTTATTTCTTTGTTGTTGTTATTGCTATTGCTTTTCCTTACTGCTTCCTATGGTCCATTTATTTTGTATATATTTCCCCTTTTTAACATACTAAACCCAGCAAGCCATGACATATTTGCACAGTGACTATTCCAACCGCAGCCCTTTTGCCGAACCAACTATTTTTGAAAAGGTATCTCAGCGGCTACCTGCAATCTTTCGGTGGGGGGCTGATCGAATTCGAACTCGCGTTGCTTTCTTCGGAAACATACCTTCCCTCGCTACAAGACGCAACAGCCGGCCAGGTGTTAAGGCAGTTCTTCAAGCACTCTTTACTGTTCGCACCGCGTTGATTCTTTTATGGGGGCTTACACTGTGGTGGGGAGAAAGGACTGTATTCAAGGAGAGCCTGAAGGCTTGCAATTGGAGTCATTGGGAAAAATGGGTGAGTGGTCGTTTTGCGACCAACAATGTTCGTGTCTATGCTAGTTATACTGACATATGCTTCATATACATAGCCTGCCAACGCCAAACCTCATCACATCGCCTTTATAGCCGATCCACAACTTGTTGATGCACATACCTATCCTGGTCGACCGTGGCCTTTATCCTCATTAACCGAATTTTACGTGGACCTGTACCTGTACCGTACTCATTCACTGCTTCAGAAGTATCTACGGCCTGATAGTACATTTTTCCTTGGTGATCTCTTTGATGGAGGAAGGGAATGGGGCACGGATGGATATTCTAGCCCGGATCCTAGCTTCAAGAGCTACGGGCACGACTATTGGATGAAAGAATACAAACGATTTTCACGAATATTCTTCGAAACCTGGGAGTTAGGGGGAAAGGGTTCCTCATTAAGCCATAGTGGAAGGAGGATGGTGGCAGGTCTACCAGGAAACCATGATATCGGCTTTGGGAATGGCGTGCAAACGCCAGTTGTCCACAGGTTTCGCTCCTTCTTTGGAGAATCAAACCGAGTTGATATCGTAGGAAATCATACGATAGTCTCTATTGATTCGATCTCATATAGCGCTCGGGACCAGGAAAATCCAGAAACAGGGGGATCAAATCTTAATAACGGAGAGACAGCACAGGTGTGGAGAGAGACACAGCAGTTTCTTGACAACATGAAAACACTGAAACAAGAGGCTCTACGAAAAGAGTTATCTACTTTGACGGGGAAGGATTCACCTGCCACGGATCCGGATATACAGCTTCCAACAATCCTTCTCACACATGTTCCTCTGTACAGAGAGCCGCATACCCCTTGTGGCCCTCTACGTGAGCATTGGCCGCCATCATCGACTAATCCTCTGCCAGACAAAGATGAGAGAAATTCAATCCATATCGGTAAAGGGTATCAGTACCAGAATGTCCTAACTCCTGTGATATCAAACGAAATAGTGGCTAAAACGGGACGGGTTATGCAAGTATACTCTGGCGATGACCATGACTACTGCGAGATTATTCATACTGAGTTTAGCGGAGCTCCAAAGGAGATCACAGTGAAGAGCATGTCCTTGGCAATGAGTGTTAGAGTGCCAGCAGTCCAACTAGCGACTCTTTGGAACCCCATTGATACAGAAACAGGTAGCCCTCTTGATTCTGGTGGCTCCTCCACAACCCTACAGAACCAGATGTGTCTGCTCCCTAACCAAATATCCATATTTATTGTCTATGGTTACACATTTGCCCTTACGATTCTGGCTCTCTTTTTGCATTCTATATACCTTTCCTTCCACCATACAGCGGGGTCCTCTGCCAACACAGATTCGATATTACCCTTGGCCTATCGTCGGCCTATCGATGAATACTATCCTTGCTCGACCGAGTTCCCCGCCGCGTCACCGTCGACGACATCATCCAACTCAATTGGAGGGGCATATTCTGTAACGCGAAGCAGGGCCGCCAGTACGACCATTCCTCACGAAGCGCGTGGCTTTAAGCAAACTCAGACAGTTGGAGGATCTGGAGAAGGGAATAATGGAGTTCCAGACTCTGCTGCATCAACGGCCCCACCAGGCGTTAACACTAGATCTCGACGGCCGGGATGGAGTGTTCTGGACAATAATGACTATTCTGAAATAGCTGACCCTTCATTGGAGAGGGGTCTTTCCAGCCGAGCTAGGCGTCCATTCCAAGTATTTCGAGATGAGCTTGTGTCATCTATGAAATGGGTTGGTGGGATATCTTTGGGGTGGTATTTGTGGTTGCTTTGGACATGGTGATGCAGTGACGCTACCCTGGCTCTGCTTGAGACTACCGACCTATAGCCTCCTTTTTTCTCGGCGCTTGCCTTTTCTCCGGTGATACACCTGTCGTTAACAGTCCTTGGCGTTTCAGCCAGCATCAACCAGTATTCGCAGAGGCAGCGTCTCAGACTATCGATTTTCATCTCATTCCGCCGTGGCCCACGCCATGGCCAATGCCCCCTGGCACTAGCTAATTCCCCGAGGCACTTGGGAGGTGGTTGCGTTGACCATCAGCTAGCATGGCACTCTGTGAATAAGTGGCTGGCGACCACGCATTCCTTCTGACGTGGTTGTTCTGCCTTTCTCTACGCCATCATGTCAATGTGCAGCACGTCAGGGGCGGAGCGATGTATTCTGAGAATATCAAGCCTGCATGGTCCGGAGATCTTGACCCAGTCAGCGGTTGGACAGAGTGAAAGGCTGGCTCCTTCTGTGATGTTGTGCTTTGGGCCACCTCTTTGACCTTTCAATCAGGCTTTGATACGGGGTATTTTATGAGAATACCTCCCAGGAGGACAAATCTAAGGACAGCAGTATGCATGACAAAGATGCGGAGATGCAGGGAATCTGCGACGAAGTATACGGAGTAGTATAAAATGTACGGAGTACGAGTATGTGCAATCAATATTAGATACATAGGTCGGGCCTTGCATAAGATCACTCTACTCGCAACCTGGGATTCAGGTATTTATCAAAAACCGGCGGCTGTTGTTATTCCCTCCTTTTACCTATTCTCTATACGGAGTACTCCGCACAGAGAGAGTACTGTCGATGCGATGCCAACTGCGCTTAGTACTCCGTAGACAATAAGGTCTCTAGGAATTCTCCCGCCTCCGAGAACGATGAGTTTTCTCTGCCTCCTTTCTGCGCTGACGCATGTTTCGCACGGTGGCTGATCAAGGCACTGCATACGAAGCAGCAATAAGAAAAGTTGCCTCTCGTTGTGCGCCATCAGCCAACTTGGAGGAGGCTATTTGGTCTTTCTTTGCTTCTTCTCTTCGTTGCTTTTTTCTTGGACACAGTGGTTCTCCAGCTTGTGCCACCCACCCCAACTCCCAGGTTGGCCTACTTGATGCCAGAGTGTGGTAACGACTTTTGCCCTTGGATGCGGCCAGGATTCCTGTGTTTCCGAAGCTGCAATGTCTTCTCCGTAATGTCCAATGTCCTGGCATGAGCATCACGAAGTCGGCACATCTCGCCTGTGCCAGGTCTCGCTTTCCGGATCACATTTTTGTACTTTCGTGCATGAAAAATAATGTGATAGCCACCACGTCACATCCATCCACCTCCTTTTTGCCCAGTATAACTACGGTGTACTAGTTATCTGGCCAGAAACCATCCTACCGAGGAACTAGTTAGTTTGCGCACCAGCTAACGGTGATTTCAGCTAGGCCAGTTGTCGGGCGACGCCATATGAGTAAACTGCTCTGAAAGGAGGGAAAGACACAGGCTGCTGTTAGAGCTTTCCCCTCCCTTTCGTCACCAGAGGCTTCCTGTGGACGTATGGAGGATGCACGCTGAAAATCCGGTGAGCGTTGCCAGCGTTCCTCTTCGTATAGGGCCCTCCGCAGTACGGAGTACCCAGCAATAACTACTCCGTAATGGAGTCCCGTTTCATTTCTGTCAGGAGATGTAGATTCATTCTCATCCTGCATAGAGATGGCATTGCATCTTGTTTGTTGGCTAGGTTGGCATCAACTCCCGCATTTCCCGAGTATATATAACTAATAACAGGGGGATGCAATAATAATTAATATACGGAGTACACGATGGGCTTCATCCCGCTCCAGGCCCAGGACTAGGAATTTTTTTATTACTATTATTTTTTTTTTTCCAACTTCCAGTCCCAATGGCGAACCCAACATCGAAACTGCCCAATTATCAGCCGGAATAACAGCCACATCGGCAGTAGGGCGCTAAAACAAGGGGGAGCACCAACGAGGTTAAACTATCCCGCCGATCTTTTACCCCTGCCTGTGGGTACTCTATGGGATGCAGAAGTCAGGGGCTGAACAAGTTGAGAAGGCTTGTTTACTCTTTCTGACTCCATACCAGTACTCCGTACCAAAGATGGCACCCCCGCATATACTCGCTAGTGTACTCCGTATGACCTTGGATATACCAATCTGACCTCAGTTTACCGAACTGATGAAGCCTTTCTTTAAATAGTTATGGCACCGGTACGCTCGAAAATGGGACGGAAGTTGGACAACGCCCACACGTACTGGGTACCCTCTACAGGAAAAGCAAAAAACCCCAGCCCGGTTATGAATACCGTTTGCTTGAATAAGGGAAAGCAAGGCATAGGGACCGTCCTCCAGTCAAATGATTATCCACCTTACATGCGGTTCCCACGCACAGAGTACCTACAGCGAGTTGTAACCTCAATTTCAGACAACTTAAGAGAGTTCGTTCGCTTCTTGACAGCTCTTTTTCTCCACAGCCCTTAGCCACTACTAAACGAGATAGTCACATATTGGACATCTTTGCCGTGCGTACCTTGCCGCCACGACGATCTTCCAAAGCGGCGCGTCCACGGCCGAGAAGGGGGTATTTTTAGCGCCTCAGGCAGGGGTAAAAAAAGGGCTGCTTGCATTCTTTCTACAACGCCGAAAGCCTCACATATACCAATAATATCTTTAAGCCCCGAGAAGCAGACGCTTTTCTTCCCGGCTCGTCATTGGGGTTAAGACATCCGAGCCTGCAGTTGGGTCGAGACCGTTACCGTCCGTCCTTCGAGTACTTGATCTCTTGGATTTCTCTCTTTTCTTTATTGTTATTATTATTTGACACGTTCTCTTCCCTCTTTTTTATCTGGCAAATTTGCATTCCTTCTCCTTCGTTCAACATTCCTTTCTCTTCACCACAATCGTTACCTTCCCTTATATATATATAATATTGACTTGTTTGAACCACTTTCGTTCATCAGCATTCACCTACCCATCCTGCGTTGAGATTTTCCAGCTCCTAAAGGGGCTATAGTTATCTCAGATGGCCGCTTCACTATGGAAGGGGCTCGCTGTCCTTTACTTTCTTCTTTGCACAGCTATACCAGTATTTGCAACTGTCACAATCAAGGGTGTCCAAGAAGGTGTTAACCAGGGTACTGGCCAAAGACCTGCCCGACAAAACCTTGCGACTTGGGAGTTTTCCGGGCCGGCTTTCGATCTATATATACAGGCCCTCCGCGAGTTCCAATACACAGACCAAAAGGAACTTCGTAGCCACTACTCTATCGCAAGTAAGTTGCCTCCACGAATACCAACCACCTTCTTTCAACCACTAATACATTGCAATTAGGTGTTCATGGATTGCCGTATGGACCATGGGACGGGGGTGAGACCACTTCCCGACAGCAGGGATACTGCTTGCATGACTCCACATTGTTCCCTCTCTGGCACAGACCTTACTTGGCTCTTCATGAGGTTGGTAGACATAATTAAGATACTTAAAGGACGACGCTGGAATCTACCAATGCTAACACATGGATATAATTAGGAAATGATCTGGACACACGCTCAGAAAATTGCCGCTTCTTATCCTGAGAAAGACCGTGCCAAATATGTCACTGCTGCAAAGACCCTCCGGATTCCATACTGGGATTGGGCCAGCAACCCTGATATTCCGCGCTCTATGACTACCGCCAAAATTAATGTAAACACTCCTACCGGCATGCAGAGCATCGACAACCCTCTGTATCAGTACAAGTTTGACCCCTCTGTAGAAAAGGGGTTCCCAGAAGGGGATTCGGTAAGTTTGATAATAGTCACCCAATCGATTTTCAGGGCCTCTGGCTGACAATATTTAATTTCATTACAGTTTACATCCAACCCCCATTCTACTCGATTCCCCGACGCGAACGGTGAATCTCAAAATGACCGAGCCACCAGGGCTATGAGATCAAATGGTGCATCGTAAGGCCCACCAATTGAAATATCCCCGCCATGTTATTCTGGTTCCAGAAACTAACCGTCTTATCTTTCCTATCTAGCCTCCGGTCAAGCATCTACCAACTCCTAAGCAGTGAATCGGATTATAGCACTTTTTCAACCCAAGCATTGCCAGACCGTAGCGGATATAACAATGTTGAAACTGTGCACGGCTATGTCCATGGCCTGGTTGGTGGTCAAGGCCACATGACTTATATCCCATGGTCTTCTTATGATCCAATTTTCTGGCTTCACCATGCGTCAGTTCGCCCATAAAGTGATGCTTGACTGAATTTGAGGCTAACACCTAATAGAAATGTTGATCGACTCATCGCCCTTTGGCAAGCCATCTATCCTGATTCATATGTCGCACAAGTACCCAACGGCGGCGGCGCGTATATGACTGAGCGAGGAACTGTGGAGGATGGAAACACACGTAAGTGCCGTAACTGTAGGCAACATTATCGTGACGCATAGCGCTAACTTTTACAATACATATAGCTTTGTACCCATTCCATGCTGATGACAGCACATACTACACTGCCAACTCTGCACGGTACACCAAGACTTTCGGGTACACCTATCCCGAAATTGAAGACTGGGGTGTCAGCAAGGCCGATCTCCAGAAAAATGTTCGACGACGTGTTAATGAACTATATAATGATCCTTCCAAACAAGCCGCGAAGCGGTCCACCATCCATCGTCGTGCACAGAGATACGATTCGTACATCCAAGGAAGCAACAAAAGCCAATCGCCAAGTACCACGGAATCCCGCTTTGAGGCTGTACTGGACGATGCGTTTGATATGGTTGAAGCCATTGGTGACTCTATCAGCCAAAGCTTGGATCGATTTGACGAATGGGGTGTCAACAACATGAAGAAGCAGTGGGTTATCAAAATCAGGGTTAACAAGTAAGTCTATAGGGGGAACACTGTATTCGATCTGCGGATTTAAGGGTACTGACGCTTAAAACTCAAATTAGGAGCGCTGTAGGCAAGCCCTTTAGCATCCACTTCTTCATGGGAAACCCACCAAAGGACTCGAATACCTGGCGTTATGCACCCAATCTGATCGGCTCATATGGAACATTCGTTCACGGAATGGGTATGCCAAACCCTAGCATGGTTGGCGGAGAGGTGCCGCTTTCTCCAGCCCTCGCTGCTCTTCTTTCTACCAGCACCATCCTTGGCTTGGATGACACCGTGGTCGTCCCTGTCCTCACCAAATTCCTCACTTGGAGAATTCAGGATCAAGATGGGAAGGTCATTCCCACTGAGGATGTTGCTAAGTCCAACGGTGGTAAAGGACTTGAGATCCGCGTTGCTAAGCGTGATGTTCAGCCCTTGACTAAGGGTGACCTCGATAACTTCCCTCAGTTCGGAGAGTGGGATATGTATGATAGCATTACCAAGGGGAAGGTAGGGGGCTATTAACGCTACAACCATGGACTAGCCAGGACGATGCTCCAGTGTTGAATTGATACCAGAATGCCTTTTCCCTCTTGCCTCATTTCTATCCACTTCCCTTCCCTGCGCCCACCCCCCACCTTTCTCTTCTCTTTTTTTTTTTTTCTCTCTGCTGGCTGTTCTCCATCCTTGGATTCTTGCATTTCTTCGGTCTTGTGCCATTGAGTTGGCACCATGCATTTGTTCGTTTCAGTATATAATACAATGTGTTCCAGCCTAATTTTCGGCATCTAAAATATCGTGGCTGGCTAGGGTATTTGTTGTTACGTCAATTCCACTATACTAAAAATAGAAATGTTTTTAAGCCTCAAGGTTTGGATAAGGTGGCCTGTGTGTAACTCCAAATTCCATCTGATAACTTTGATTGGACATCACTCTGCTGACTTAGCTATCCAGCGGCGACTCTCAACATCTTTCCCTCCAAGCGACATCCACCGTTTGCAGGGGTCGGGACGCTATTATGTACCAAAAATTAGATAATCCTCGGCCGCTCACTGGACATGGAGACATCCCAGCTGAAAGTGCAGAGAAATTCACCCAATAAGAGGAGCTATGCTTATCTTCTCCAATTACAACTGTTACATTCCGAAGCACAGCTCCCTGTAAAATATCCTTAGGCACCGCTTTTGTACCATAGCTCCGGTAATTAAATTAAAACAACTATGATGAAACTTGCTGCAGATGCATGGGCCGTTAGGAGATATTTCCTCTTACGTCCATCATATTGTTGTTCAACCCTAATGGCCGGTATTCATTAATAATGAAAATTGGGGAGACATTGTTTGCTCAAGAGCCCGTGCGGGATCAAAACGAACGAGTTCCAAAAGAATAAACAACAAAAACCCAAAAAAAAAGACGCCTCGAGTTCTGACCGAATATATTTTGGAAGAATTTGAAATTCGACGTATTATTCCCGCCTTATCTACCCTATTATTTCCTTCGATTTGCTTCTCGCGCTCCTACTGCCCGTGATTGCGCTGAATGGTTGACGAAACGCCCTATTTCTTAATCAAACAACAGTGGCCAGCCTTAGCTGAAAAAGTTTCGCGTATATGAGATATTAATTAGCCAGACAAAGCGTTGATTCCAACTCCGCCTTTCCTTATCTCGTTATCAGTTCTCAGGAGATCATACTCTCAGTAAGGGAGAATTTATACCCGTCGTAAATGAGCCACTAGAAAGGTTGGAACACGCAAGAGTACATGCTATCGCTGTGGACAAAGACGTGAGTGGAAGGGATCGAGATAGCCGGTAATACCGGTTTATCTTCGACCTACCATGGCCACAGCAACCATTATCAGTTCCTTACGGTCTATTCGGCCTCAGTCCAGTCGTTCAACAAGCCGAGAGGAAATACCAAATCGACAACAACACCACCCATCCATAACACGGCCACGGCATTCGTTCCCTGTCTCAGAACTTGGGACGTCTCCATTTCCTGCTAAAGGTGTTGAAACGAGTGCGTGCGATGCTTGTTATCAGAAAAATGCTCCTTGCGCTATGAAACGAGATGCTAGTATATGTTATGCGTGTGATTCCAACCACCAGGAGTGCACATTCTACATAAGTAATCAAGCAGGAAAGCGGAAACACGACAACCCGAGTCTAGGGGCTGCCAACTGTGTAAAGAGGTAGCTCTCCATTCATGCCTAAAACTTTCATACCCCACACCCCGGCACAGAGAGAGGGAGAAGCCTTACTAGAACTGATTGCTAATATAAATATCTATTCTCCATGCAAAATTATAGGCAAGCAAGGGACGATTTGCCATCCCCAGTGTCTGAAATTATGACAGGATACCCGCGGCGACTATCAGTAAATGCCAATGGCTCAAGCGAGATACCATCATCAAACCTCGGTAAAACGATGTCCCCCAAGATAGGACCATTATTCCTGAACTTTCTCCCACCAAATTGGACCGACAACAGCCAGATAGCATCAGCTCGGATTCAGTTATTCTCAGGTGAAGGCGGTTCCAACAGACAAGATGTTTCCGTTGTATCGCTGGAAGCTGTGGAAAATCTGGTCACCCCCTTTGGACCAACTTTGTTGGAGAAATACTTTCGACATTTTCATCCAACATTTCCAATTATAATGGAGGGCGGTTTCCGAAGCTCGTACAAAGAAAGGAATGGCATCTCGGCTCTCCTTCTGGGAGCTATGTACTTGGTAGGCTTGAAATGGCTAGAACCAGAGTCCGGGGTACAAACATTGCGTCCGCCAGATGCCATAGGGCTTGAGGCTTTGGTTTGTAGGAATCTAAACGAATCCCTTTCAAGGCCTGGCCTGGCCACGGTTCAAGCTGGCCTGCTTCTCTCGCAAAAATCCTCGCTCTTTACACCCAGGTTGATGGCCCAGTTGGTGACAGCAGGGTTCGATTTGGGCCTGCACCAAGACTGCTCTACATGGCAGATACAATGCTGGGAAAAGGGGTTGAGGAAAAGGCTGGCGTGGGCTTTATATATGCAAGATAAATGGTGTGCATTAGTGCATAGCCGGCCGTCACATATATTCGCGTCCAACTGGGCAGTAAAGGACTTGACCATAGATGATTTTGAAAATACCACTCGTTCGGCAGCCTCAGCTGCTTCTTCTGCTTCTATTACTACCCTTTCATCCCTTTCTAGCCATAAGTTTGGGTGTCTGTTCTTCCGTCAGTTCGTCAAGTTGACTCGCATCTTATCTGATATCATCGAATCATTCTATACCCTAGAAGCTACCCAACAGTTATCTGCATCTCACGAGAACGGCACCCATATTATCCTATCAAAAGCGAAACCCCTTCAGATTCAACTAAAGGACTGGTTTAGCCAATTGCCTGCTGAATTGAAAGTAGACACTGACTGCGGCGTGGAGGCTGGCCCGAGCGGTGGCATCCATCTGGCCTACTTTGCAACAGAAATCATGCTTCACAGGTGCATTGTCCGGTCCCTGTCGCCAGATACAGCCGATCAGTATCTTACGCACATATGTCGGTCTGCAGCAAAGACTCGTCTCATATCTGCCATGGAATTTGTAAACCGACTAAGACCCATTCACCTGCGAGCATTCTGGCCTGCTGCCGCAATGAGCAATTTCGCCCTCATCGGAGCATTTGGAATTTTACTGCAAACTACAGCACCGACTCAGGAGGAGGAAGAGTTCTATAGGTCCCGGCTACGAGAATACCGATGGACCCTGAGTGTGAGCAGAAGAGATGCAGGCTTTTTGGACTTTGCAATAGATACCCTGGGAGAGGTAACCAAACTTGTGCGCAACCAACCTCAAAAGCCGGCATTTCAAGAGTTCATGAACCACTCGTTTCTCTATCGTCCGCCAGACTCTGGTCTCATTAACCGTCTGGACTGTCATTCTGGTGTCCGTCTCCGTGAGCAGTCTATGGCATCCAGCCCTATATCACAGCAGGGAGATGCATATAATGGCTCGGATGAATACGAGAATCTCCCAGGATGCACCAGGATGCACTCTCGATCTAGCCTCCCGGATACAAAATCAGGTTTAATGTCTCCAACTGCATCAGCATCGAGCGCAAGCACCAGCCGTAGACGCTAATGTCTGGATTGTCAAGGACAGGTTGCGTTACCTGGGCGTGAATTGACGTCTTTGGTCACGATAATATGGCCATCTCAATGTAGAATTGATGAGTCCTGGATACCATAGAAGCATTGGGAGCGTTTTTGAGAGGTGGTGAGGGAGGGGGGGGGTTGTTATACTTTGGCGGGTATGCATATCGTGTTTATCATCAAATTGCGGAGGTGTACTGTGATATATACTCTATACTCTACTCACTATGTAAGTAACGGACAATGAAGTCACGGCTTTTTTTTGACCGGCTCGCTTGAAATGTCCGTGTAATCGTCCAGACCTCCATAACACTGAGCACACATACAGACAGGTAGGGGTTCCGAGTTTGCATCCTTGCTCCAACACAGCTCGCAATTTCAAGTTTATGCACTGACTTGCATACTTTCTCTATTTTTATCAAATCCAGGTTTTTTTCTCCATAACGCCAGATTTCAAAACACCAACCCCCTCCCCCATCCCGTGTCTGAGGCAGGTTTCAGGATTTTACTTCCAACTGGTTTGCGGGCAGCGGGGTCGAAGACACGAATACGCGGATAGGATGTGCCGTTATATACCCGACAGGGAATACAAACAGAAACAAGAATACCACACAGCTCCAGCTACCAGATGGAGATGACACGGAGAATCGACACCGAAGGGGGGAGAAAAACAAAAGAGTGACAGAATACAGAAGGGTATATCAAACAAGTAGGACACTGTATGATGTGTTAGTTAGTATGTAGACTATTTTTGAAGGTACTTGCCGGAATAAACTTACGCATTAACACATCCGTCATTCTCGCAGTTATTTGTAATTTGTGCCCATTTACCCCATACCACCTTTCCTCCAGTGGTGACAAGCCCTAGCTCGGACACATTGACTTCGATGATCGTTCCTTTCGTCAAAACTCCCAGTTGTGTATACATCGGGCTTTGCGGGTTCTTTTTCACACTAATAATGGGCAGTTGGACAGTGACTGCAAGTTCTGGGTGAGTAACATTTGCTTTTTTGTATCGGAGACCCATAGGGCGAATGAATCGTTCGTATTTGACCGGTCGACGGGTGAAATCAGCTCCAACGAAGGTAGGCTTGGTTACCATTCTCTTCCACCCTTTTTTCTGGATTTTCTTTCCCGTCTTGACAACTTTGAACATCTCCTCTTCACTTATACCCTTGACTTTGGGTAACGGAACGGAGAACTTCGCTGCCTTCTCAGCACGTTTATCTTTGATGGCACTGGATAAAGCTTTCGCAGTGGTAGGTTGAGAGCGATCAAGAAGATAATTTGGTAGTGGTGTGGACGACGGCTCGCTTGGTTCGCCTGATGACTTGACATTCCGTTCCTCTTGCGCTTTGATGCGTTTTCGCATCTGGATCTTTTCTGCATGACGTTTCTTATGAAAGAGCTTGGCTCGCAGGCCTTTGAGGTTTTGGGAGTCCTGTGATTGCTTGTGCGATTCACGGGCAATACGTTTTCGGGTCCGCTCCTCGTGGTCGAGGCTGTATTCCATGTTAGCCAAAGCACAAGAACTGTCCCATGAAGGCGCCCCGCTTGAGCCTTTAGATCAATCTACTGGTATAGCGCATGCCCCAGCTTGAAGAAATGTTATAACATACCGGCGACCATGTTGCTTCTGCCATCTTTCGATATACCTGCACGCAGTGACATTAGTTATATATACCGTGGAGGGAGGGAACCTGGAGCACGAACTCGTTTTGAGGCTATCAAATAAACAATATTAGTAATTTTATCCAGAATATATTAAACGCATCAGAGAGCAGAGATATCGTCAACTTACCATCTTGGACTCTTGGTGCCGTCCTGCGTCTGCTTTACTTTACCCTCTCAGCGGCTTGCTTGAATTTCGTTAAATCAATATTTTTTCCTCTATCGATCGATAAGGGTCCCACGTGATCGTAACTTTGAGATCACATGACATATCTATGCCCGAAATTTCTCTCTACGAAAACGAGCGACAACGAAGAAGCAGAAGAGCAGAGACGGTCGATTGCGGATTCAATTGAACATCCACGTCTCCAGCCAGGCGCCGACAAGATGTTCTCAAGGGCTGTTCTGCGGAGCGCTCGTGAACTACGGACAACTTCATCTATTCCTCCAAGTGCATCACTCCTTTTTGCCAGCAATCGATGTCTTCACCAAGCTACGGCCGGCTCCCAATTCAAAGCTACACAGCCCGAAATACCTCCGCAAGGGCAGACACAAAACACTGAACGATTCTCTCATCTTCCCACCGGCTCTATTCCAGAGGTGGCTTCTATCTCGATTCCTTCTGCGAAGCCAGCAGTACCACCTACTTTCACCAGCCCTCTAGAGCTCACACCCGCAATTACGGCCCTTCTCCCCGACCTTGCAACTCAGCCTTCACACTATATAACCGCCCATCTACATGCACGACCATATCTGCTTACGGCGGGTGATACCCTTCGACTACCGTTTCGCATGCCAAATGTCCAAGCCGGAGACGTGCTACGGTTAAATAGAGCGTCAAATATTGGCTCACGAGACTTCACTCTGAAGGGTGCTCCTTATCTGGACGAAAGACTTTTCGAATGCCGAGTGCGCGTAATGGGAGTCGAGGCTGAGCCATTGCGGATCAAGGAGAAGACGAAGAGACGACAGAGACATGTTCAGCGAGTTAAGAGCAAACACAAGTACACTATATTGAAGGTGGTGAATGTCAGAGTCAAGCAGCTTGACGAGCTTCTCGCAGAGGGAGCGAAGATAGTGGGCCAGTGAAGTGCAGGTCCAGCCTTTGAGCATTTGTATGTCCATTAGACAAGGGGGATATTATACGCCGAGATGCAGCTTGCATCCCGTGCTTTTTGCTAGGTATCAGTCAGGTGTTGGAAACGGCGGGAAGAATACTGATTTTCTGCCTTGTGTATTTTATTAAGCATACTGTACAATATCCCATGTTGGAAGGTTTTCATCCTTTACACTTCTGTGACGAATAAATTATTATCTTAATAAAATCCATGAGGAGTTAAAACGTCGACGTAAAAAAAATATGAGCGAGAGAAGCAAAGTAGGTATACAGAATCATTATTGTAAGTTAAATGAAAAGTCCGTAGCGGCGTGGTGGTATAAGCGATCCCCAATAATAAGCAAAAACAGAGAGGATATAGAACTATAAAACAAGTCAAGTCGAACAAGGCTCCAACGCAGCAGTAAATCCCAAAGCCACCAACTACTCCTGGAAATGAATACATCACGTAGCAGACCAATTGAACTCCAGCATCAAAAGTATCCCAATCTTTTTATTAAAACAAGCCAGTGGAATAAGCACAGAGAACTCATGAATTGTATCCCTGTTCAGCTGAGGCCTGCAGCTTCTGGAAGAGCCCGGCAGACCATCCAATTACTTCTTCGTCCTTTGGGATGCCATGTAAGCGGCAATGACTGACTATCTTCGTCATTGCCATTCCAAGAGCTTCCTGAGTGACGGGCACAGCGCCCTCGGGGTAAGCGGGTGGATATATAAAAGGATCTGACCTATCCAAAAGCTGCGTTGTGGTTGGGCGGAGGGTAGGATCTCTTTGAAGGCACTTCTTGAGAGTGCGGATGAGGCTGGGTGGAATGACTGCACCACCAACTCCAGTAGAAGGGTATTCAATCGCCACTTTCGGGTTGGCAATACATAGGACGCGTTCCATTTGTTTTGCCAGATGGCCAAAGGGGGCGCGGCCGTATGCCATTTGGTATAAGATACAGCTCAGGCTCCATACATCACTGGGCTTTCCGATTTTCATTATCTTACCAGCGGAGGATGGAAGACCAATGGTAGCATTGTAGTCAATGATGGCCTCGGGGGCCATATAATTCGGGGTACCAACTTGATGTTCTCTGTGGACGTTGACGGTGTGATCCTCGATGGTATCAGCAATGCCAAAATCAATCAATTTTAGCTTCCCTTTCACCAAGAGGAAGTTTGCTGGTTTCAAATCGGCGTGGACAATGTCATACTCGTGTACTGCCTGCACACATTCCAGCATTTCCTTCCAATAAAACCGTGCAAATGCCGGGTCAAAGACCGAGTCCTCCGCATTTACTTTCAGTCTTATCACAGTGTGGAGGTCGGATTCTCCCATTTCCATGAGGACGCTAAGTGTCTCCTTTTCTTCGTTTATCTCATAATCAAGTAGTCGTACTACTCGTTCGACCTTCTCCAGCTTTTTGAGCAAATCAATCTCGCCCTTGTATCCTGCAAGGTTCGTTGGATCGACATGTTCTAGATTTACCCTCTTCAGAGCAAATATTTTGCAATTTTCTGCCATAACTCTATACACTCGCGAGCTTCCACCCCGACCAATACAGTCTAGTCGGGTATACGCCTTATGATTGACAGTCACTATTGCTTTCTTGCGTCGAGAGCTCGACGAGGACGCTGCCCCTGCTGCTGCTGTAGCCGTTTCAAGCACAGTCATCTTTGGGGGAGGAGGAGGTGCTCTATGAGGAGTTGGGACATTGGTGCTCATGCTTCCTAGTGGTTTTCTATCAGGATCCTGCGGCGTGGACTTATGTGAATGCCGGTACAGATCTTGTTTAATGGCTGGCTTGTCGACTCTATCAAGCATGTCAAAATGTTGGGCTTTGGATTTCTTGAAAGTTGGTGGTGGCTCATTTTCTTGTTCACGATTTGCAGGAAATTGGGATGGTGGAGGAATATGATACGACTGAATGTCAGCGGGAGGCACTGACTCCTTTGGGTTTGACCTTGACATCACCCCAAGACCTGGGGTTGGGTATACAGGGCTCGATACACGGGGAGCTTTTGGCTTGCTTTCCCTGTTATACGACCCATCGTGGTAAGGCGGTTGATGAGGTGGAGTATGGATTTCCACTGGAGAAGGTTGTCGCTGATCCAATCCGGCAGGCGAGTGTTTTCTGCCTACAGAGTTTTCCAAGGCTGCTAATGAAGGGCTGTGTCCTTGCAGTCTTTCTCCCCTTTCAGCATCTGAATCTCCTGCTTGTTCCTCGTTCTCGAAGCACTGTCGCTCTTCGCTGCGTCGAGGTAGCATTCCTCTGCGGGCAGGGCCATTCAAAAATTCACCGGTCAGCTTCCCCACACGCTTCACCCGAATCGAGCTTTGCATTCCCACAACCTCGTCACTTTTCCTTGGTCTGAACATGCTTCGTGGCCCTGCCCTCTCGCCAGAAACACCGGCATGATCCTTGGATGCATGAGTCCTATGCCTTAGAGGAGAGTGCGATTCGTATTGACTCTCATCATGTTTGGTCCTGTACTCACGATCAGGTGAAGCTCTTGGGGACGGGGTTTGATTGCTTGACCGAGACCGTGGTACGCGGACCACGCGCTGTCGAGGAGCTGGGGTAATAAGGTCGCTTCCATCGTTTCTGCTAGTACTCGTAGCACTGGAGGCGCCTCCTTGGCTTTCGCCTTTTCGCGAAGATGATGAGGTTTCACTACCGCGAGGTGAATTCCCGTCCCATTTCCTGCTGGACGAATCTTTTTGTAGTATTGAGGCTCCATTCCTCTTTTCCTTGGGTAGGGAGTCCGTGAGGATAGCGAGAACAGACTTGCTAAAGGCAATGGGTTCTGGAGCCTCGTCATCTGAACTATCGCCAAGCGCGATGGTATCTGCATGCGCCGCGCGAGATTTCGTGTCTGTCCTCGATTGTAGTATGCTCGGGTGTTCTGAATTGTAGTTCCATTGCGATCCTGTCTCGTAGCTTGGGTGGGATGCGACGCGTGAACTGGGAACAAATCTGCGGTGGCCCGTCGGCAACGGGGTCGGAGAAGCCATGACAATCAGTGTATACTGGATGCTGTATGCATCGATCGATAATTCCTTGCGGTTTCCTGTCTCCTCTGCCTTTGCGTAGAGCGGTCGACGTTGTTCGTCGTGGAGCCTTTTTCGAGGTTTTCCTGGAAGTTGATGTTGAGGACGCTCACGTGAACGGCGGTAAACGAAGCGTTTCCACAGCAACAGCGCCAAAGTTGCTATCAAAGAGGATACATAGATAGGACGGTAGGGGGCGATATATAGCAGGGCGTATGATATAAATTCACAGCTTACTGACTTGGGGAGGGCTACAGGTCGCAGGGCGATAGCAGTACGCTAGGTAGTTACTTGGATTTTGAACTTATGGTATTGCGGGGGCCTTACAAATGGCGATACAGTGCATCCATTCCCTAGATGATCTTCCGAATAAAGACAGTAGCAAATGGGCGAATAAAGATAGAGGAAAAGACATAGCTAGCGCCTGGATGGTGAGAAGAAGCAAGGGAGAAGCCCTTGGCTAGGCGAGCAAGAGTACGACTGAACAAGCACTGCCATCGTTGTGCTCACCGAGTGGTTAGGATGCTTTGGTAGCCGCCTTCTCTGCACTCATCCTCCGCATGGCGATGACTTTCTCCTTGAGAAGCCGTTCTCGAAGCTCAGTCGAGGTAAGCCGTGATGCAGGACGCTGTGATGGACGCTGTCAAATACCCAGTCAGCAGTCCGGATAGGAAGATAGCATGTTCATGCATATAAAACACCGTTGATAAATTCCACTGAAGGGAAAGGGGGTAAACAATACCAACATGTTTATTGACCCACCTCGTCAGTAGCTGGAGGCCTATCCGGTGTGTCATTATCTTTAGCAGCTTTATCTTGAGCGGGTTGAGGGGAACTTCTGGCAGTTTCTCCATCTGAATCAGCTATTCTCTGTCGCTTTTGAGCAGGTGGTGAAGGGGCAGAACTGTTCTTGCGCGACCTGCGTCCAGCTGGGGCATATCTTTCAATAGATTGATGCCTCCGCCGGCCACTGCGGCTGCGGCTGCGGCTGCGGCTACGTGAGCTGCTCGTCGATGACCTGCTGCTGGTCGACCGCTGTCTTCGGCGGTATCTTCCGCGGCTTCGACTCCGGCTTCGCGTTCGATGGCGACTGCGGCTGCGACTGCGGCTACGGCTGCGGCTAAGCCGGCGGTGGTCGTGACTTCTGCGATCTTTAGCAATATCAGCTCTAGGTACATCACGTCTAGACCCTTGTTGGTACAAAGGGGATCTCCTCCGAGGGCGCCGACTTCTCCGATCACCCTCGCTACTTGACCTCGACGGAGATCGTAATGAAGATGCACGACGGGATCTCGAAGCCCGATTACTAGCAGGGGGTGGAGAGATAGAGCTTCCGCTTCTCGATCTTCTCCGTCTTCTTCTGGACGGCGAGCGGCTTGGGGACCTGGAGTCGTCATCATGGGTCGGGCTGCGGGCTCGTTTCCAGCCACGGTCACGGTCACGGTCACGGTCACCTCTATAAGGTGAGCGAGAGCTGCTGGTCGAACGCCGCCGCCTTCTTTCGGGAGACCTCCTATCCCGTCGACGGTCCCGAACTGGCGAGACAGAGCGTGATGGTGACCGGGACGGCGAAGTAGAGGGCTGTCTCGACGGGCGGCGCCCTCTATGATCATCTCGTCTATAGCTTCTACCACCGCTGGGAACGTAGATATCTGCTCCCCGGCGAGGTGTATCTCGGTAAACCGGTGGGCTTCGTCTCCGTCGATGAGGCGAGGGAGAATCTCTGCTGTCGTACCGATCAGCTCCACGAGCAGGGCCACCGCGGCCTCTTCTGCCACGGCCACGATCCTCTCTCTCTCTCCGCCGGATTCTCTCTAGGTCTCGTTCTCTGGCCTGCTCGGCTTCTGCCCGGCGGCGTGCTTCTTCCGCGGCAGCCTGCGTCTGACAGTTAGCTCACATATATTCCTCGACACGTAGCTAACAAATATCTTAAGAACTATGACAAAAACCAACCTGTTCCTGCATCAACTCCAGCTTCTTCGCCTCCAGCAACTCTTTGGGGACACCTTGGGGGCTATCCTGCGCGCTGAGGCAGAGGTTCCATAGATCCTTGCAGAATTTCGCTGTATCTTTCTCCAGGAAACCGGTAAGATTGATCTGTAGATGTTTTATGTTCGGCTACAACGACACGCACACACGCACACACAGTTAGCCCATCAAACTCAACCCGGAGGAGGGAAACTAGCAAACGAGAATCTGTCTGTCCACGTACAAATCGCGAGCCCTCGAGGAGGTTGAAGCAGAGCTCGATAACGACGTCGTCCTCGTTCCCCAGGATATCAGATATCCGCTCTGCAATCCATCTAGACACGAGACATTAGCACACCGGCCTGGACACAAGGATAATGGACGCTGGCTCACTCACTTCTTCATGACCTCGATGTTGACTTTGGTCATGTCCACCTTTTTCGCAAACTCCGGCGGAAATTTGGTCGTCTTCAGCAGTTTGGCGTCCATGATCGCGGCTCTTGCAGTAGCAGATCCTCAGTAGCCACCGCTGCCGCCGTCTCTGCAACTCCTTTTCGCTTCTGTCTCTTCGCCGCTGCTGCTTGTCTCTGTGGTTATCTTTTTGCTGCCTTTTGGCGCTCTTCGGGATCTGCCATGGAAATGGATTGGATCCATCCACCCAGTTCCATCGATTCCATGTGAGAGGCGGAGAAACAAACGACCGAGAGTTTTCGATATCCCATTCCAGGCTAACTAGATCCGCCATGGAACCAAAGTTACGACTATCAAAACTGCAAAACATCGACAGATCGAAACATCCGCCTTGCTTCTGGCTGAATCCACAGGCAAAGATCTTCTTTGCTCGTATCTCCGGAGAACTGCTATCTGCTTTCTCCATGGTGATTCCCTTCTTATCAAATGGCCATTGCTCCATGACTCGGCCTGCTATAATGCGCATTGGCAAGGCGATGCCTTTTTGGAGCACGCCGAGGACACCTCGCCCGGCCTAGTTCAGCCTCTCAAGCCGTGATATTGCTCTTTGCCGTGCGCACTGCATATCTTGGACCGCAGCATTCCTAGTCTGGCCTAGTCGGGTCACTGTTTGTCTGGGAAACCCTTGCTAGAAGACTGATAGATATACAAAACGAAGGCGTCCAACTTCATGCCCGACATGGTTGTGCTTCTACACAGAACCCCGTATGCCGACTGTACGGCATGATGAATGATACCCCTAAGTGGCCCTTTTGCCATACAAGGCCAAAGCCACGTCGAAATACTCTCCCTGGCAGTCCTCCGTGGAATGCATGCCGGAATTTTGTCCGCAGTTGCGACTTGCTAACCCCTGGATATATACGAGTTGCATGTGTGTAGTGGCGGCTGGATATACCAAGAATATAGGTGCTGTACTGACTGACAGAGAGCGCACCCAGCAATTGAGCCATATTTAATCCAGTTCCCTGTTCTTTTCGTCTTCATATATCTGTGTTTATCTGCAGTTCGTTCATTCATTTTGTCAGACTAGATTTCCCCAACCGGCGATTCCTCTCTTCTTTGTCAACCCAGAATGCTCAAACAAGGTCTATACCATCTCCTGGCTTCCCAGCTATTTGGTGCATTGGTCCTGGCGAACGGTCGTGTGTCTATCGATCAGGCAGAGGGATATGGCAGTCAGCGAGAGTGTTCTCAGAACTTGTGTTTCGAGGGCTCACTCGGTAGCAACCGGATTGGCTCCGAGCTAGGCTGTCATCCTCCCCTTATGGATGACTGTTTCTGTCGCCTGGACTTGCAGGCATCAGCTACGTCTTTCTTGTCATCGTGTGTGAACAAATACTGCGAGAGTAATACCATAGACCTAACTCATGCTATCAATATCTACACGGGATACTGTGCCAATGCCGGATACCCAAGCGGTGGCGCAACCCCATCTTCAAGCTCATCCAGACAGACAACGACCGAAAGTATTGTGTTTATATATCTGAATTTGCATATTCTTCCCCCGATCCGTTTCAAGTCCCGAGTAACTGATTGTTATACTATCAGAAACCCCAACACAGACCCACACTGTGCCAGTTCGCTCCTCTTCATGGGAGACACAACCATCCACCGGCACCAGTAAACGGAGCTCTCTGTCCGTTACTCCCTCTACTGAGCCGACGTCGGGATCCAACTCACCCAATAGCATAAACCCACCTGCAAAAGACGAAGATAAACTACGAAGCGGAGATATTGCAGGCATCGTTGTCGGTATACTCGGCTTCCTCGCAACGGTTGCCGGGGTGTATTTCTCTTATAGGATGCTTAAAAACAAGAAACAGCGCCAGGCAATGTCCCCAGAAGTGGCTTATGTCTATTGAGACATAGTCATGAGCCGATGGACTTGGGTACTATCAGTTTTTAATGCCAGCGTTATAGATAACAAAGTCATACTGGAGTCCACTGCGTTTATTTCTATACAAAATAGCCTTTAATGCCCGATATGCCAATATTTCAGCCATACCACTTTTGACAGCTGAATGCATGACTAGATTAATAAAGTCAACTTATCAAATCCTCACCGCGACAGGTATATCCTCAAGCAAATGGCTTCACTGATAACTGCCACGCATCATTTGTAAAGAGTGTTTCCCGCGAAGAAATCCTGTGCATCAGGATCGTCCCAGCTTCGCCAACACGGCATCCACGTCCATCCGGGCCTGTTGAAGCGCAGCGTCTACTCCACCATTCTGGTAGATGTGATGCTCCTTCATGTTTCTATGCAGTTCAATGAGCTCTGTCGCTCTCTGAACGTCCTGGTTCTGAGACCGGCCATGAGTCTGCTCGACTTTATGGGTGTTGACCAAAGCGAGCGCATCTGCGTGATCCTATGCACCTGTTAGCATCCGCCAGATAGTTAACAAAAAGTCACAGACGACCACATACGCAAGCTCGCAGTGACGCGAGGTCAGAAAGGACTCCGGCAACCTGCATCTGTCGCCTGATTCTGGTATTTGATATCGTATTTAGAATGTTCTTTTGCTCTTTAGCTGTGCTTCTCAATTAAACAGGCTCCGAGCTGCAACCTAGCTGCCAGCGGATCAACTTGTTGCCCGGCATGTCCAGTGGAAGCCCCATGGAAACTTGGCCTCGCCTCGGCAATTGGCTCTCCGCAGCTTCAAGGAGTGAACGAGAAGGCCATTAGACCAGCCATGGCTTCTATCAGGGCAAACTGCAGGAAGATCGTCTGCATAGGCCGGAATTATGCGTATGTTGCTTTATCTCCCTTCTTCTTTGGCCAAACTGCTAACCAGTTAACTAATTCCTTGCCAGTGACCACATCGCCGAATTGAACAACTCCAAGCCGAAGCAGCCATTCTTCTTCCTCAAGCCTCCTTCGTCTCTCCTCATACCAGGGGCCGGTCCCGTCCTTCGTCCCAAGGGCGTCAAACTCCATTATGAAGTTGAGCTAGGCCTGATCATGGGCTCCAGACTGCGAGACCATGACCCAAAAGATGTCAAAGGCGCTTTAGACTCTATTGCAGGCAAGCTATAACTATACAATGCACCAAACAAACATGCTGGCACGAGTTACTCACCTTGGCTTCCATTGTCAATAGGATATGTCGTTGCAATTGATATGACTGCTCGAAATGTGCAGGATTCAGCCAAACGCGCCGGCCTGCCGTGGTCAATCGCAAAGGGCTTCGATACCTTCTCGCCCATCAGCTCACTTATCTCCAAATCAGCCATTCCGGACCCGCATAATGCTACTCTCCATCTTGAAGTTGATGGTGTGTCGAAACAACTGGATAACACGGGGCTGATGATATATAAGATCCCGCGCCAACTTGCTGATATCTCACGTGTGATGACCTTGGATCCTGGCGACTTGGTCCTGACCGGTACGCCCAAGGGTGTAGGGGAAGTGACTAACGGCCAGGTCATGACGGCTGGTATCAGAGTTGACGGGAAGGAGATCGAAGAAGGGCGGCTCAAGGTCATGGTCAAGGACCGAGAAGGAAGATATGAGTTTGCGGAGAACTGATTAGAGATATTGTTACTCGCAACGTCCTCGTCTTCTATTTGACATGAAGGTTTGATCTATTTGTATATATTGTCATTTGTCTCATAACTACTTATCATCTTCAGGGAAAATTGGGATAGACTACCAGACATGTTTCATCCTACGTCCCAGCAGCTTGCTAACCGCTTTCTTCATCTGTCGGCCAAACAACCGAAATTACTCGCCGTCTCTTTTTCTTCCTTCCCTCCGTCGGCTTTACCGCTATCATTTCTGCTTCTTTATCTATACCATCTTTGTGTCTGTCTAGTCGTCTGACCACTTCCCCGAACTTGGTGCATGTCCAACGGTCGTACTTTTCAGGCATTTCTTTGGCCACCAGCCTTCGCAGGAGCGGATCGTTTAACCCTTTCCACAGAGCCATTGCTACCTGGCTCTCATCATACCCCAAGGTTATATATGCCGGGCCCAGCTCAAGAAAGTCTGATAGAAGAATCGGCCCCTGCATAATTAACTCAGGAGGGTCCGGATGGGTATCATTTCCTGTGTGTACTAGGCGGTCAGTACCTCTTGTGTCAATATCGATATTCACTGCGTTCCTGGGCTGCACCAGTGGTTTTTCTATCGAGGTACAGGGGAGCGTTGATAGTGGCTGTACATCGTCCTGCCAAACAATGACCGGTTGTGTTTCACGCTGAGGCAGAGGGTTTGGCTCTACCAATGTAGACTGCTCTGTTTCAGGATTTAGGCATGCTTCTTCCTGTAAAACCGGTGACAATGATCTCTGTCTCGGTTGCAAGATATCAACCTGCTGCTGCTGCTGCTGCTGTCTTGATTCTATACCGAGTCAGGCATATTCTATATGATACCATTTCAACCAACAACTTACCAGCAACAGCCACCTTGAAAGCTTCAACAATCTCATCCCTAAGCCTCCCAATTTCCTCCCGAACCATCTCACTCGTCATCTCATAGTCTCTGGCGAAAGCGGTGCTCAACCTCTCATCAATAATACCGAGCTTTTCGCTCAGCCTATCCTCTACTGACCTCACCACCTTTTCAGCCTCTGCAGCTCTATCACGTCTCAATTGCTCAATCTCGGTCCTCAGATGGTTAATTTGCCCTGTGAACGCGTCTAGTTTAGCCAGAACCGAGTCATTGATTACCGCGATGGAAGACTTCAGTGATGATTCTAGTTCTAATATCTGGGTGGAGAGTGCGTTTTGTTCACGGTGAAGCTGATGGGCCCAGAGGAGGGAGGCCGGGGAAGAAACGTTTGGGTTCTTCGGAGATTGTTTTGACTGGATAACTGGTGCTAGGGAACTCGGCTGTCGGCCTTGAGATGACATTGTTGATGGTATGGGAGCTTATTGGCATCTATGGTGAAGCGGATGGAGAAAAGTAGAGAGTGTGAGTTGTAGGTATCTAAGTACCTATGAAACTCCACCCATATGAGAACCTCAAGACATCAACCACCGTTTTACGTGCAGCAGTGCTAGAAGCCACGAAACAAGGGTACAGGTATCTCAGTGCGAATAATAGATGAAAGAGAAGATAAGTCAACTCCCATTTTTAGCTCTATCTATAGCAGAACGCACAAACATGCAGTATCGACTCGGTTGGGCAAAAAGGGGGAATCAGCAAGCAAAAGAAACCAAGACACCGTAAGATAACCACATAAATCATCATCTTAAGCAATTTCAGGCCCCCTCTTCTCTCCTTTTTTTCTTCGGTCTCTTCTGTCATTAGCCAGGAAAACATTTTGTATGGCCTGCAGCTTCATGCCTGGTGCCTTTTGCTCGTGTAGTGAAAACCCCTATTTGCCGGAATCAATCAGGGTAGCGCCATGGGTAGGAAAGAAGTAAGAGATGAAGGGAAATAGTAGAGAGATTCTCCTCGCAGGCTTGTATTCCTCCCAGAAAATTTATCGGGGAGGAATAGCATGTCGATGCAAGGAGAAACAAACTGGAGGAATATCAGATACATGGACAAAAAAAAAAAAGGAAAAAACTGGCATTTTGAAAGGATAGCACACAAATGAGACACGGGCGACGCCCTCGAGACAAAGGAGTTGGATCGGCATACATTAACAGACCTATTCCGCCACACCTCTCATGTCGAAAGCCTTCGAAAAGGAATCATCAAGCCATGAAGAAAAGATTTTTTGAGAAGCAATGAAACTTTTGTACTGAACAACATGACTGCCAGTAGTACCCGTCATTCAGATTCAAAAGGCCGTCAAGAAACAGTGACATCATTCGTCGGAGATACCGTAAGGGAAGGGCATGATTGACTCTAAAGATGAAAGAAAAAAGGAGTTCTGGAAAGGGGTGGGTATGCCGAAAGTGAAAAAAAGAGATGTGATTAGATAAGATCTAGAAAGATAATTGTTAGTCTTTTTCCTCTGTCTGCGTCGCATGGAATTGGAAGGAAATAGCTTACCAGCAACGTTCATGGGCATCTCCTCAATCTGGGTGCTGTAGAACTGCTCGATCTCTCTCATCATGCGGACATCATCAGCAGTGACGAAGTTGATGGCAACACCCTTTCGGCCGAAACGACCACCACGACCAATACGATGGATGTAGTTCTCACGGTTAGCAGGCAGGTCGTAGTTGATAACCAAGGAGACCTGCTGAACGTCGATACCACGGGCAAGGAGATCGGTGGCAATGAGGACACGAGAAGAACCGGAGCGGAACTCCTTCATGATGACATCACGCTGGGCCTGCTCCATGTCTCCGTGCATGGCGGAGACGGTGAAATCACGGGCCTGGAGCTTGTCGGTAAGCCAGTCGACCTTCCGGCGGGTGTTGCAGAAGATGACAGCCTGGGTGATGGTAACGGTCTCGTAGAGATCGGAGAGGGTGTCGAGCTTCCACTCTTCCTTCTCAACAGCAATGTAGAACTGCTTGATACCTTCAAGGGTAAGTTCGGCCTTCTTGACCAAGATGCGGACGGGGTCACGCATGAACTTGGTGGTGACCTCCAGGACGTCTGGGGGCATGGTAGCCGAGAGAAGGACGACCTGGGTGGACTGGGGCAGGAATTGGAAGATGTCGTAGATTTGCTCGGTGAAACCACGCTATCACATGCGTTAGCAATTAAAAGAAAACACTCTCAAGCTTAGATAACTAGGGTAACTAACAGAAAGCATCTCGTCGGCCTCGTCGAGGACGAACATCTTGATGTGGTCGGTCTTGAGGACACGGCGCTGGATCATGTCGTGGACACGGCCGGGGGTACCAACGACGACCTGGGGGCCGTCCTGGAGGGCCTTCATGTCCTCACGGACGTTGGTTCCACCGATACAGGCATGGCAGTCGACGTTCATGAAGTCACCAATGGCGACGACGACCTTCTGGATCTGCTGGGCCAACTCACGGGTGGGAGCGAGGATAAGGGCCTGGCAAGCCTTGAGGTTGGTGTCGACCTTCTGCAGGGCCGAGATAGAGAAAGTAGCAGTCTTTCCAGTACCGGACTGGGCCTGGGCAATGACGTCGGAGCCTATATAAGGGCGCATTAGCGGACGGCACAACACGCGGGAACAGCTATGCGAGCTGGTGGTGGAAAACGTACCCTTGATGACTGGCATGATAGCACGCTGCTGGATAGCAGACGGGCGCTCGAAACCGTATGCATAGACACCTGGAGGTTTCGTGAGTCAGTTTGATGCGGCTCACTCGCTGCCTCGCTCATCTCCCCTCCCCCGCGCGGGCACGAGTCGGGATGGATTGTCACCACATACCTCGAAGCAACTCGCTGTTGAGGTTCATAGCATCGAACGAATCTGTGACTTCGTCATAGTTGGACTCGATCTGGCCTGTAGTCGCGAGTCAGCAATGCGTAATCCTTGATGGGTGAAATTTTCACTGCGCTGCACGGCTCCGTTGCTGGAGGCTCGCCACAGCCCCCCTCCCCCCGTCGCAACCAGAGCCAAACCAGGCGTGAAGCCGCAGTGAAGAGGGAAAAGAAGACATCTCTCGGTCCGTCTTACCATCAGGAATCTCCTCAAGTCCCTTGTCAGCCATGATTGCGGTTATAGGAATAGAATGACCACGACGTGAGAGTCTGTGGTCAAGTTCGGAGGGGTCGAAAAGGACGACGAGGCGCCGGCGTGGAAGCTGAGTATTAAGATAGAAGACTAGAAACCTGGTGCTCTCTTGAAAGCACCGTCTGGATTTCTAGTGGTGAGTGTCTTCTCTTTTGCTGTCGACAGATAATTACTATCTGTGTTAGTTGTTGCTGGTTGCTGGTGTAGTTGGTGGTTTTGTGTGTGTGTGAAAGATGAAGTTGAAGATTTTTTTTCCGTCAACTTTTTTTTTTCTTCTAAAGTCGTCT